GTCAATCACAATTCCGTATTCTGTAGTTAACTACGATAATTATCTGTCGCATTGCATTGGATCAATCCTTTTATATAATATAAACTCACATTCGCTTTTGTCAGCTCACTCCGTACACTGTATATAGCTCAGTGACCAGAGCTGTCACGACGTCATCGCTCATGACGTAATGTTTGATTTCTGAAGGAAGCCTGGAAGTCTGGTAATTCCTAAATTCTTCTCAACTGTCCCAAGGTTAGGACTTAAAACTATATAAATTTCACTCGATTTTCCATCAACCAAATACTCACACGTAAAAATGGTTCGAATCGACTCAAATGAAAAATAATTTTGCCATTTCTACGAGTGTTTTCGTACGAATTTAGAAAGAACTTTATAAGAAAGTGTCTTTATAACCAAACTTATCCATGCAAAAAGGAATAAAAACATTGACAATGGACCGTTTAGGGATTTCCTTAATAAATCATTTAATATTTATTCTTTCTTAGTAGGGTACAATATAAAAAAATTTACCATTAATCTATTTACAAACATTTTGCTGTTGACTCAAGTCAAAAGCGATGGTTTACAAGCAAATTTGTGGCGCTTTCTTGCTATATGGGAAAGCGAAAGTCTTTCGTTAATCATAACCCTGATTTGAACCGTTATTGAAATATTTGAAAAATGATTGTTTACATTCTTGTTTGCTTCTACAAGGAATCAAATTTGTCTAAAAACTAAATGTTTTGAAATCTAGGAAGCACTTGTTACGAACTTTGACCACAATCCTTCTCAAAAAACATGTAAAAAATTATATAATATATTTACAACTAAATATTGTAAATATCTACTCTAAATAGTTCATATTATGCAGAGTTGCAAAAAGAGTTCAACCTTCCTCCGGTAGGATTTCAAGTTTTGAAAACCTTACTCAAAATGACGTTACGTCACTGAGTCAAGTAGCAGCCAGCATAAAGAAATATTTGGTTTTTTGGTACATACATGTGATCAATTAGAGTGTTCAACTTTGAACCTTCCTCACAAACCTCGTTCAAAGCAAACCTTCCTCCGGGTGGTACCCGCATACCCGCAGCTTTTTTGCAACTCTGATATTATGATTATGGCAATACTTCAAATAAACGAGTTCAATATTCACATATTGTTCACACAACAACAGCAGTGGGCCGCCATCTTACTTTAGACATTTCTGGAAGTTCTTCCCAAGAATACCTTTCAAAGTTGAAACCTTCAACTGACTTCAGCTTTCCTCCCTCACCCAACCCTCCCAGGACTACAATGTTGTTTTCAATAACAACTGCAGTACATCCAAACCTCTTACATCTCATTGATGGCAGCATGTGACTTTGTTCTGTCTTGACATTGTAAATGATAACTGTATCTAATGGCTTGCTATGTTTGTCAACACCACCAATAACAACAATGTTGTCTCCCCATCTCACAGTTGCTATATCACTCACTTCATACGGCAGTGGTGACAACTGTTTCAGCTCATTCTTCTTTATATCGTACAGTACGACACTGCTGAGGTTGTCTTTGGAATAAGGAGTTGAACTTCCACCAACTATCAACAAATTATCATCAAATATTTCCATGCTGTGACATTGTCTTGGTTTTGGCATTCGTGATAAGGTCTTCACAGTATAGGGAGGAACAAGCTGGACTGATCTGATCAAGTCAGATAAACCATTTCTATTACCACCTCCAGAGATTATCAACTGATCATTATACAGCACACTGCTGTGGTATCTCAACTTATCAGGTAGTTTAACAGGACAGCCATTCCAGTGTGTTGAGAGATCAGGGTTTGGGTCAATATTCATTCTAATCATATCATCAGCAATGCCAGACCAACCACAGCCACCCTCAACTATAGTCATATGATTGTTATAAATAATTGAAGTCGCTCCATGACGTTCCTCTGGCATTGATTGTAATGGCGACCATGTTCTTTGACGCCAGTTAAACATCTCTACAGAGCTAGTTCCTACACCTCCAGCAACAATTATATTTTCCTTATCACCACTTGGTCTATTTCTTACTTTTCTTGTGTTTTCTTCTATCTTGCCCTCCATCGTCATAAGAACGTCCTTCATTTCATCAAAAGCTCTGACCAAAGCTGTTTTTAATCCTTTGACTTCGTTGTTAACCGCTTCGTGTTTTCCTTCCATGTCTGCTTTTATATCTGCCGTATTTTTCTCGATATTCCGTGCAACATTTCGCTCCAAATTTGTTATTTTAGTTTCAATTGTTACATTATTCTTCCTCATGTTCTTCTCCATATTCGCCATTCTTTCCTCCATGTCTGCCAAAGTTTTCGTTATTTCTCCGCACGAGTGACACTTCAACTTTCGGAATTCACAGACTTCACTTTCATGGTGAATAAGATCACGCTTGTTGACAATTAAACCACAGCCTTGGTTTGTACAAACGACTGGTGTGTATCCACATGTATCTTCATGGCGGTCAAGATGCTGTAATTCTACAACTTCTTGACAACCTCTGTCGATGTAAACGCAACGAATTTTCGATTCATTTAAGAAATCTTTAACCATTCGCGGTGCTTCGATCAAAAGTCTCTACAGTCAGTTCATCAGCACACGTTGGACATGTTTGAGAATTTTCCAGATGTTTCGTAATACAACAACGGCAAAAAGAATGCTGGTATCTCCAACACATAACCGGCTCTTTCAAGACGTTGAAGCAAATGTGACAATGAAAATTTCGATCGATTTTGTTCACAAACCTTTCTTCATCGTAGCCTTGTACATATGAAGCCATATTTCACGTCGTTCTTGTGTCGTAATAATAAAGCAAGTTCTGTGTTGTTTGTCGCTCTGTAGTATAAACCTCGCTGTATAGACTGAATATAGATAAAGTGTTCGTTCTTGGGAAGAAGTCTGTGTTTGTACTTTTTCAAATCGCTACAAAATTATCCGTTCGGAACAGCAGACAAATATCGCTTACGTGTAAAGTGGTTATAGACAGGAATTTGCTGCTATGAAAATATGATATTATTATCATGTCTTGTGACAACAAACAGGTCATCACCTGCTGTTCAAATGCTGACTTGCAATTGGTTGTGTTTATGTTGATAGGTATTTCTTATTTCATTATATGGAAATGAGTTCGAAGAAAATTATACTTTATACCAAGAAATATCAATCATAATAATGAAATATTTAGACGAAGTACATTGTAATCGATGTTGATAAAGTCTGCATCAGAATTTGTCTGAAATCTTTTACAAAATCATGTGTTAAAACATACAAACTGCCTTTGTTTAAAAATATTTCACACAACGATACACAGACTGATATATATTTTGTTTATAATGTCACAACGGGTGGTCGCCAGGCAATATTATTATTGGTTTCAAGTGGTTTTATCAGCGAGGGTTTTTTAACGAGTGTTTTAACGTTCTAATTATTAATTGTTTTAATGTTCTAAGTATTAAGACGTGTCTTACTGACGTTTGTCGTAGCTTATTTGCTAGCGAAAAATGTCGCAATTATGAAATTTTGCAACTATTTTGTTGCAAAATACCAGGATTTGTAATTGTTCGGCGCATTATTGCGAGGAAAGTCCAAATAACATCATCTTGGAAACGCAAGATTTGAGTTCGTAGAACTCTCGTTATGTTTCGACTTTATTCCAAAGTTTTTTGTCAATGGGCTTGACAGTAACTTTGGAATAACAGGTTTTCTTCTTTTGATGGATGAGATTGAGTTGATAAGTTACGAATGTTTAAATAAGAGCAATTGTACCCAAAGAGCATTCATAACTATTCACTCGTTTCCATCTGTCACTTGTCGCTTTGCGAACATATGCGAACAGGCTTGTAGCTTTGTTTTTCGCCTTTGCTTCTACCCGCAAATTTTAGGGCGGGTGGAACACAGGTCTGTGTTCGGGCTAAATTTATCGGCGATATCCATTGTCGGTGGAAATTAATGCATAAAACGCTTTGGCTTTTAAAAGAAATTTTATCTACTTTATTGATAACCGACAATGGATCGTGGAAAACCGCTGGTAAAAGTAACACAATGAATCCCAGATTCTGAAGTTTGGTTTCCATTTGATCGTAATTGTCGTGAAGAAGCCATTTTCATCGATGAGAAATAGTCTGGATGTGACTTTGTCTTTACTTCAGTATTTAAATCGGTCATTGTCGATTGGACACACATAGAAATACTCTCAAACACATCGACCACCTTGACATGTTCACGACACTCACGAACAAACGGAAACCAGAAGCCAGGGGCCGGTTGTTCGAAAGGCGTTTAGTTTAAACGGTGGATAAGCCAAAGTTTGAAATTCCTCTCATAGATCTTGTGAATGACTAAATCTGCATCTTATGCATTAAATATGTACTTTCATTGACAATTAAGCCATTTACATCGCAATATTTCAGATCAGTTGTTCAATAAATAAATAGTTTTGTTTTCCATTTTGAACTTATCCACCGTTTAAGCTAAACGCCTTTCGAACAACCGGCCCCTGGAGAACTATTTATTGAGCAACTGAGCTGAAATATTTCGATGTAAATAGTTTAATTTTCAATGGAAGTACACATTGAATGCATAAGATGCAAGTTCAGTCATTCACAAGATGTATGAGAGTATTTTTAAACTTGGCTTATCCACCGTTTAAACTAAACGCCTTTCGAACAACTGGCCCCAGTTGTTCAAAGCTTGGTTAGCGCTAACCCTGGGTTAAATTTTAATCCACTTTTAAGTGTTTCTGAGCCGCTGTTCGTTTTAAAATCTTTACAAAATATGGCTTTGCCAGTTCAGAAAATATTTATGGAAAAAGATATTCAACTTTGTGAACAAGCGATTAAAAATATTGATGTAAAGATTTCCTTTAACCCAGGGTTAAGCTAACCTGCTTTTGAACAACCGGCCGCAGGCATAAATGAAAACCAGCCCTTAGGAGCTGTTGTTGAACCATGGTTCAAGGATTAGAAATTGATTAAACACCCACCCAGGCCCCTCGCCACCTACCTTTCACGTCCAATGACAGTATCTCCGATGATGACATCCTTTACATCGTCTTCTGGTAAATTAAACTCGACCAAATATCGAATCCTTTGTTGGTTGACAGAGTAAACAACATATTCGTCTTCTTCAAATTCTGATGGACAAGAATTTGGCTGGTTTTTGACACCGTGACAGCTCTGGTAACCATCGGGCGCATGCTCCAAATCATAGGTGAATTCTGTGAAGTCCTGAAAACGAAAGACCAATTCGTTATTGAACATGCGGTCAGTAATGAGAGTAGTTGACTTTCTCCAAGTCTCGCTCAAAATGGTTTTAGATTTTGATAGGTCTATCCGCGGTAATTTTGAGATCAGTGCGTACTACTGAACTCAAGATTACCCTGGATAGACCTATCGAAATCTAAAACCATTTTGATTGAGGCTTGGAGCAAATCTATGAGACTAGTGGATATTGAAACTGAATGAAGATTTTGTGATGATTTATGATGGTGCTATAACTCTGTCTCTGAGTTACCAGCCACGCAAAATGAAAGACTTGCTTTACCACTGTGGGAATCGAACCAGCGACCTTTGCTTTGCTAGTCCAACTAACGTGATGGACAATCACAATTCACTTTATACCCACATTCACTATCACTTTAAGACACACAGGTATGGCAAGGACTAGATCAGTTGAACACCGCAGAAATTGGTGTTTATCAGTGAAGTTTCAAGCCGAAAATCTAATGACTGGTTCACAATTGTGCATTTCTGTATCGCTATCAAAGAGAAAACTATTGAATAACTTTGAAAAGTTCAATTTTTCTTCTAAATACGCATTCTGCAATCTTTTGACAGCTTATCATACACATCTGACAGCTGTGAAATGGCCATTTTGAGGCTTAAAGTATACACAAAGTTATTAATTCAGACGATTCGTTTTTGCCGTGTGCAAGCTTCAAATCATTTGTGCAAGATATATTTTGTTGAGTGTTTATAAATATTTTTTCTCACCAAGTTTGAAGCCTGAGTATTGAGAATTGCGGTGAGAAGCTTACCAATTTCCGCAGTGTCAATTATTTGACTTTCAAAGCCGATCAAAGATAGATTCTGCAATTAAAAATAATAGCTATTTACCTTCGTACGCCCTAACGCAACCTCGCATATAAGAAGTAACCGTGTTCCCCGAGTTTTTCCTGGGGATGAGTACTTCACACTCGTCGTCGCATCCGAACCGAAGTAGATTCCAGTCCCCAAGTTACCAGCGTCCGAGCGCTCACCTCCGAAATCACGGACCACAATTTTGGGGGGAAGAAGACCCCGGGATAAAATACCCAGGAAATTTTGCGCTTTCGAGGAATGGAAGAGTTGACGAATGTTTCCAAGATGGGATTGGAAATGCGCTGACTCGGCTGGACGTTGGCATGAAAATATGTTCTGTACTTTGATATTTCTAGAAATAAATGTATAAATAAAGTTAGCTTAGTTTAGGTTTCCTCCTGTAGTAACACTGGATCAATAAGAGATGATCCTTACTGGACCTCTAGAAAGAACAGTTTAGAACTGATAGAGTTATCCAGTATAAATAAAGTTAGTTTAGTTTAGGTTTCTTCCTGTAGTAACACTGGATCAATAAGAGATGATTCTTACTGGACCTCTAGGAGGAACAGTTTAAAACTGATAGAGCTATCCAGTATAAATAAAGTTAGTTTAGTTTAGGTTTCCTCCTGTAGTAACACTGGATCAATAACAGATTATCCTTGCTGGACCTTTAGGAACAGTTTAGAACTAAAATAAATCTTAGAGGAACCTATGTGATTTCAATTTTAGGAGAAAATAGCTGGCAAATATTTCCTTACCTGGTCGAGGATGACAGCACTTTATTGACAATGTTCAAGTATTCGTCTGTTGTCTTCGAAAGACTTTCAAGATGACAACCGCACGCTTTGTATTTTGCTTCGTCGCTGCTTCGCGTTGAGAAATTCGTCGCTTCGTTTACATTTAAGATGTCTTTAATTAACTAAAGAAGAATAAAAATTAGCCTCGATAGTTTGGAAATCTATTTTTAACATTTTGTGTATTTTATTATATATCTTTGGGGAAAAAATAGTCAAATTTAACCAAAATTTTGGCGATATATAAAAAGAGCGGGAAAACTTCCGTCAATTTCCGGAATGATACGAGAACTTCCCGCGCTTTCCGATACTAACTCGCGGCCTTTGATTGGCTTAGGAACGGATTTCACTTGTTCGCTCGACCAATCAGGTTATCTGTTCGGTAACGTTAGCCAATCAGAACGTACCTGACAGAGATCCTGTTTTTCTGCAATAACTCGCTTTGTAGTTATTTCTTTCACGTATTCCTTGTTGTGTGGAACGAGCGAGTAAAACTCCTGAGAATATTTCCCCAAATTTTCATCGGAAGCATCGCCTTTGTCGAGAATTTCTCGGATAGCTTGCAATACTCCTTCAGCTTTTGAGATATCCTCCAGTTTGAGCCGTTCAACCGGGTCGCACATTAGAGAACTCAGCTCTCCAATCGCTTCAGACGAAATGCTGTGGACAAGCGCTTTCACAGGAGGAGACAGATTTTCTTTGTTCAATACTTCACTGGATATATTGTTCTGAAATGAGTCAAAATACAAACTTAAAATCAGTAAGCTAAACTAAACTAACTTTATTTATACTGGATAGCACTATCAGTTCTAAACTGTTCTTCCTAGAGGTCCATTAAGGATCATCTCCTATTGATCCAGTGTAACTACAGGAGGAAACCTAAACTAACTTTATTTATACTGGATAGCTCTATCAGTTCTAAACTGTTCTTCCTAGAGGCCCAGTAATGATCATCTCTTATTGATCCAGTGTTACTACAGGAGGAAAACTAAACTAAACTAACTTTATTTATACTGGATAGCTCTATGAGTTCTAAACTGTTCTTCCTAGAGGTCCAGTAAGGATCATCTCTTATTGATCCAGTGTTACTACAGGAGGAAACCTAAACTAAACTAACTTTATTTATACTGGATAGCTCTATCAGTTCTAAACTGTTCTTCCTAGAGGCCCAGTAATGATCATCTCTTATTGATCCAGTGTTACTACAGGAGGAAAACTAAACTAAACTAACTTTATTTATACTGGATAGTTCTATCAGTTCTAAACTGTTCTTCCTAGAGGTCCAGTAAGGATCATCTCTTATTGATCCAGTGTTACTACAGGAGGAAACCTAAACTAAACTAACTTTATTTATACTGGATAGCTCTATCAGTTCTAAACTGTTCTTCCTAGAGGTCCAGTAAGGATCATCTCTTATTGATCCAGTGTTACTACAGGAGGAAACCTAAACTAAACTAACTTTATTTATACTGGATAGCTCTATCAGTTCTAAACTGTTTTTCCTAGAGGCCCAGTAAGGATCATCTCTTATTGATCCCGTGTTACTACAGGAGGAAACCTAAACTAAACTAACTTTATTTATACTGGATAGCTCTATCAGTTCAAAACCTTTTCATGACTTACAGAAATCATTTTATGTGATCCAACACCAGGAGGAAAGGCTGAGAATTGCCGACGGTATTCGGGCTGTTGTTGTGAACAGAAAAGGGAATACAATTGCTCAGCAGTATCGGAGTTGTCGGCAAAACGACATTCCTTTTTGTCAGGTTTCTCATTCACATCGATTCCCTGGAAGAAAGCAACGTTTTAAATGAAGAAAATAAAATTCAAACTACAAAATTACCGCGAAAGCTTACACTACAAGAACTTAAATGTAACCTACTGGGGCTGGTTGTATCAAGCCCGTTTAGCTTAAACGGTGGATAAGTCAAAATTAAATAACACTCTTACAACTCTCTTGAATGAGTCAACTTGAATTCTATGCACTGAATATGTAGTTGTAAACAGTATATTTGTATTAAGGTTAAAACATTTAGTTCGCTTGTTAAATAATTCGATAAACTTGCTTTTTATTTTGAACTTATCCACCGTTTAAGCTAAACGGGCTTGATACAACCGGCCCCTGTACACTGAGAGATAATGCTAAACCAAGAATAAGCTGTTTTAAACGGTACAATCTAACAAGATTTCCGTTTGTCAAACCTTTTGAAGGATTCCAGAATGAGAGAATATACGATGACTTGGATGTGATTTTTCGACGTCAATTTCATCTTCCTTGGCAGTACTGATATGCAATTCAATAGCGACAAAACGAAACAACCCATTTTTGTCAGATTTCTAGAAAATATTTAAGTATTCCTTGTTAGTTTACGGGTCAGGTAATCCGTTTTCAATCTTCATCAAAATGCGTGTCCATGCAGTAGTCACGTATAGCTTAGCCTAGAGCTAGCCTTTCAAGCGAAGAAACTTTCTATAACCGGTTATTTAAACGATATTGGAGCAAGTTAGCCGTTAGTTAGTTTTGAGATTTGTGTGGCGTTACCTTGTGGGCAAAATTTAAGAGGAAGTTACCTTAAACCACGAATGTTTAACGATTTCAAAATCATCAGATGGAAAGAAAGGAATAGACTCGTTATCTTGATTAAACCGATAAACCCTACGGTAGAAAATATATTTCAGTGAAACGTCAAACTATTACAGAAGGAAAATGTAGGGGAATTTCTATGCATTCTATGAAAACGGCGGGGGTCGGTTGTATCAAGCCCGTTTAGCTTAAACGGTGGATAAGTTCAAAATAGAAAGCAAGTCTATCGTTTTATTCAACAAGCGAACTAAATGTTTTCAACCTTTATACAAAGATACTGTTTACAATTACATATTCAGTGCATAATATTCAAGTTGACTCATTCAAGAGAGATGTAAGAGTGTTATTTAATTTTGACTTATCCACCGTTTAAGCTAAACGGGCTCGATACAACCGGCCGCAGGTATACACAGTTTTTGAACGCGAACTTTTTCAAAACAAAACAAATTTCAGTTGTAAATTTCTTCGCGTAATAAATTTGGCGCCAACGGATAAACCCAGTGCGCTGATTGGTCAAAAATTGGCGGGCAATTACTAAACGAGCCGCGCTGATTGGTCGAATTTAGTCCCCCGTGATGCCTGACGACAGCAAGAAAGAAGAACACTTCGCAAACTCGAAATTTCCAGCGATTTTCAATCATTTCAGCGTTTTCAAAAGCTTTTTGGGAGAGATTTTGAGCTTTTGCAGGTAAATTATCGAGAAAAAAAGAAAACTGTGGGTTACGAAAGGGGTATGGGACAACGCGAAGAGCGGTCTAGTCTCTAGACAGCAATAAATACGCCGAAAATTGTGCAATCGCCTGGAAAAACGAAGAAAATCGCAAAGCTGAAAATTAAAATGCAGGTAAAAAGGTGTAAATGTGAGAAAATGTTAGGTTAATTTCCTTGATCTAATCATACGAAGATGTTGTTTCCTTAGTTTTCATAAGATTTCAGTACATTCTTCGCATTTGAAAGTATTAAAGTTGTAAAAATGATGGAAAATCCGTTGTCATATTTGTCATTTATAGAGCAAAATGTCTATTGGTTTTGTGAAAAAAAGCATAACCATGTTCATAGACCTTTAGAAGGGCTAAATACTTTTGAATGGAAGCAGGCTGATGATTTTATTGACTGGATTCACCTTAAATTCAGGGGGGGATGCTTCTGAAAGAGGGGGTGCAACTGTCCCCCAACCCACTTCACATATCTATGCCCATGTTAAAATAATTCAATGATTCATCATTACCTTGTAGCTCTAAGATTTGCCAATGTCAGGGGCTTTTGTGTCTTTTGTTTCGAGACATTCGGTGTCTTGGAAGCTGCTGGTAAAACAGAAATATAACCAAAAATTAGGTTTAAATTACAAAATTATACTTAATTGTGGTGGTGAGGAATGCCAAAGAATATTTTTGTTTAATACATAACAAATATAATCTAATTTAGTATCAATATCTTTTTTAAATAATGCTCAAAATGCCACTAACTTTGCAATTGCTAGATTAATGTATGGACACAATCAACTTATTTCTCAATTAATCAGCTAATTAGCAACCAATTCACTTTGTTATGGTATTTAACTACAAATTAGTAATCCAAATGTCAGCATCTACGAAATCTAGTTAACTTGATAGTTTCCTAATTATTTAGTTAGTGTAATTGATAATCCTGGTTATGAATCGAATTCTACAGACATTCTGACTAAAACTAATATTAAATTAAAAATTAATAAATTCATTAGTATGCTTATTATTAGCCTGATAAAATTACTGGATGCTGATTGGTCAAGAAGAGTACAGTTATTTCGTTAATTGTACATGCATTGGTGTACCTAGAACTATAATTGGGGGGGGGGTGTATTCATATACTTGTGATATGCTGTCCAGATTCATTTCTTTTCTATTAACATGAATATATGAACATTGGCCCCCCAAATTATCAATGCTGGCTAGGCCTCGGTGGACATGTACAGTATACACACGGTACAATTAACGATTTTGACAAAATAAACAAAATGGCTGAATGTTATTGCATGCACACTAAACAGCCCTGGAGGAAATAAAAATGCTTAAAGTACCATTCAGTCATACAATTATAATCCCAAATTCCATTCACCATCACATGACCATAGCTATATTAATCTGTACATGCTAACTCATTTCTAGAAGAGAACCATAATATATAAAAGTTCTACCTTTGATGATACCAGAGGAAAACTGGTTGGCCAAGGACTTGCCAATCGTGAGATATTCATCGCTTTCCAACAACTTCTGCTGTTCCGCGCAGTCGTCAATAAATGACAATGACACAATCGGTATACCAAGTTTCAGAGCTGCCCTGCCCTTGTATGTGTCGTCTACCTCTTTGTTTTCTGAGACGAAGTACTTGGTCTGAAATAATATACCATATAAATATATATATATGATTGTCCAGTTGTAGGACCCTGGAAGTTAAAACTAGTACAATTTTATGTTAAAATTAGCCAGTAGCTTTAAACTTGGAAATTAAAACTAGTACAATTTTACACTAGCCAGTAGATCAAAACTTGGAAGTTAGAACTAGAACAATTTGATGTTAGCCAGTAGATTTAAACTGGCTACAACACAACAGAATTGTATAAAAACAACTGATAAACCTTTCTGTACTATACTAAAGGGGTAAAGGCTGTATTAAGGCGACTACCAAACTTTAAACTTCCTTGTGTAAACATGATAGGTCCTTTAAATTTAGCACATTGATTATTGCGAGCCTTTGTACTCATTTAAATGCACTCAATGTACTTGGAAATGTACTCATTTACCATAAAGGGAGAAGATTTTCATAATTGAAAATTGAAAATTTGCATTGCTTGCAGAGAAATCAGAGGAGGTTGGACAGCTGTCACGTGAATTTCTCGACCAATGAGATTGCGCTATTTTCCAAGCGTGCTTGCGAAGATTTTGAGCGAGAAAATTTACATAAGACGGAGAAACATAAAAATATTGAGTATATTTTTTAAAGTTTACTGATTAAAACGCATATTTTTTGAAAAAAGATTCATTGGACTGGCGATATCTGTCGAGATTATCGAGGTAAGCGTTACTTTTTAAGTCGATTTTTATAACTGAAGTTGGTCGGGTCGTTCCGAAGTGATGAGTCATTTGCTTGTCTGTTTACAATTTTCAAAGTTGAAAATCTCGAATTCCTGTGGTTCGATTTTTGAGATTCTTTGTAAGAATGAAGTTAAGTATGTAAAAAAAAAATCGGCTGGATCGACCCCTTGCGACCCCACACCATTTCCGAGATATCGGGCTTTGAATTTACCACTCTTGTTTTGAGATGTTCAAAATAGCGCATTTCGGGTCAATGGGATATTTCCCTTTCAAATATTGTTTAACTACATAATTTGTAATATTTATGTAAATTTTATTTGTATTCATGGTTTAACTTCCTTAGTTATTAACATTTAGACGGGAAAATAGAATTTTTTTGTATTTTATATAGATTTCCATTTTTGGCAGTGACGACTCCTATGCTTGATCATCACTGTTTTTTTGTAGGAGTTTAGACGTCGATATGGTATTGAAAAAGGGCTTCCTCCTGAACACCCACGGGCAGGATCAACAGATGATGTTGAAGGCATCTTTGCTTTTTTACATGGATTACTGGGACCGATTTTTGATGAGAAGGATTTTCATGATGCTTTTCCAAAAGTTATCAGTGAATATACAAAGAAGTGTGATCCTGATCTGCCATTTTACTATTACACTGGATCCAATGATAGATACAATGATGGATGCTTGCAATCTTTTAACATACCCTCTAGTAGTGGGGAAGAACGTCTAGATCGTGTCTGTATTTCTAGGCGAGCTGACCCTGGAGTATTTGTTGCCAACAGAGCTGTAATCCCACAACGTGGTCAATTGAGTGTTAGATCAGCACATTTCAAACAACCAGAAGGCTTACCACCACCACCACCTTCACAAAATTGATAAATATGAAACATATTGTGTGATTATATGTTTTCACTTCTTCAGTAAAATAAACTGACATTTTATATTGGTTCTGTTCTTTAGATGCTTGTTGATGTTTACAGTTAGTGTGAGTTAAGATCTGCATTACTAAGCCATTGTGTGTTAGAACTGGCAATATTTATGTATATTAGGTTGATTGAAAAGCTAAAGGCATGAACACCTTATCTAGTACAATTGATCTTCAAGTTTGCATGAATTGTAAATGCTATTAGCATAGAAACAATAACCAATGGTGTGTGTATGCAGGTTTTTACTTTTTTGAACATCATGTAAATATATGTATAAATGCAAAATCTTGGCTGTTTTGTCAAGGCAATTTTACTTACAATATTTTATAACCATCATAAAATTTGATGAGTTTATTTATTTGTTCATCAATAAATACAGATTTACATATTTATACCATGTATTGTATGAATATTTTTCTAATTTTCTTAATATTGCAAGGGTTTGTATGAAATATCACATGACAGTGAAGTGCTTTGGTTATAGACAATAGGTTTTGAGGATATAAAATAGAAAGCCTGGTTTCCATACAACATTGTCAGGGTGTTGTGTTAACCATTAAGAAAAATATCTATCATTAGTTATTATGCAACAACTTGATTGTCATATGGAAACCAGACAAAAAACAAGTTGATGGCAAAAATGCTGGAAAAATCTACATAGGTTAGCCAATGGAAATAATTGCAGAAATTCACAACTTGCAAACCCTGGTTCTTATGAAATTATATGTCAACGTACACTCATACTAGCCCTTACAATCTGACCTTCCCATTCACCACGCCTCTTTATCCAGATTTTTGGATAAAATCCTATTTTTAAAAAGTTAACCCGAAACTTGATGTGTTCAACATAGACGTCTAGTATATCTCCTGCTGCAATCAGTGGATGTAAATACTTGCAATGTTCAGAAGCTATATATCCAACATTTTCCCATTGAGTTCCATAATGAAGATCAATAGCAATTGCATTTTGGTCCCGAGGATTCTCCGGCTCTGGTCTTAGTCGAACATTTACTGATTCATTATATTCAAGGGCAAGATATGCCTGTTCCAGATGATGTTGGTAACTTTGTTCATGAGCAGCTCCAATGCACTTGAATGGTAGAGCATGAGTGATTTCTTCCTCATCACTTTCAACTTCTTCACTTTCATCTTCTTCACTGTCCTCATTACTAATTTGCTCATTGACAGTTTCATTTCTTTTACTTTGTTCATCCCCATTCTCCTCTCCAGCATTTTCTAGTTCAGCTAAATGCTCAAGTAGATCTCTTTCTATAAAGCAAAACAAAAAAATGCCCGTCTAATACTGTTATGTCTATAAATAAAAACTCACTAGTAATTTCTAAAAATAGAATTGAACGACTCTGAGATTAATTTTTACTTTAAGCATGAAACCATTTATAACAAAGCATGTGTAAAGAAAACATTCGTAAACAGAAATGAACTATCAAAACTTTATACAGTAACTATACCTTCAGATTCATCAGAGAACCAATGATGATCATCAATGTCTCTATTTTCTGTTCTTTCATGACCAAAATCGTTTTCGTTACTTTCACTTGGTTCTTGAGAGGCTTGAGAGCTCCCTGATTCAGATGTGTTATCTAAAGGAGGTAGAAGTACTTTCTGAGTGGGATAAAAGTTTGAACAATTGCAACTTACTGCGTTGATATTAAGCAACGGAGTTTCTTCGATGTCATCAAAATCAGGAGTAACCGCATCCACAGCGCTCGTATTTTCTGTCAATACACGATCCACATCAAAATCCCAAATTAAAAGCATTCTCTCCGCTTTACAATGAATAAATTCATCAGGGATAGTACCAAACTAAAAAATAGTTTCAGTTAAATTTTAATACACAAATCAAGCCTTAAAAGTTAATAAAAAATATTAAAAAATAAGGTGTTGACAAGTACTTTATACTAACCTCAAATGTAGTACTTGCTTTAACGTTGATGACACAAGGAGATTTAAGGCCATTCAACTTCGAAAGCAGTGCTTCGGTGTTTGGTATAATACAAAGTCTTCTTTCAGACGGAGTATTATGAAAGGCGAAATGGCAGCAAAGCCCATGCAGCTTAAAAAACGGTAAACTCGGTACAGTAAAAGATAAGTCGTAATGCGGATCGCAACAATACATATACATCATAGTATTTTGCACTATCGCAGCTTGAAAATCCTGTCTTTCGAAAGCATCCATTTTTCCTATACTCGCAGAGCTCTTCACATCACGACAGTCAAAACGTCAAATGGAGCGTTCGCATAATTGAGCGCTCAATATCCATCATGCTTTGCGGCCTGCTGTCCAACCTCCTCTGCAGAGAAATGGGAATATTTCATAGCCCGGACACATGTTTAACTATTTAGCAAACCTTGTTATTCAGTATGTACGAAATTGTTCCTCCATGGTCAACGATATTTCGACGGATTTCTTGCTTTCGTTTGTAAGCAAAGTGCTTGGAAGTAAAATCCACCGTGAACTGGCAATCCTTGAAGAATAAAACCATGCTTAATCGATGAAAAAACCCTCAGCGTTTTGCAAGAAATGCTGCAAATGTTGTTGTTACATTTACATTTCAAAACATTGCTAAATATTAAAATTATGACGCAATTTGACAATTGACTCCGTCTTCTTCCTGTTCCTGTTTGGGGAAGAACCGGCGGCCACTACAAACGTCCGGGTATATTTTGAAATTTTTGAGAAAATTTGATAGAAAATTCATATTAGGCACGGGAAACTATTTCCTATTTCATTATATGAAAACGGTTCTAAAATCTAAGATATTGATACCTTATAACAAGAAAATTCGATCGTAATAATGTGTCTAGAAACTGTCAAATTGCTATAGTCCAGGCCAGAATCAGAAAATCGATTAAAGACCAACAAACACTGTATAAATATTGTATAGTGTTATTTCCCACCACCAAAAGGTACATCTAGCCCTCTTACCGTATCTACAAACTTTAGTTGCATAAACTAGTAATTTTTCAATATATTTCCACGTTTTTAAGCAATAGTTTATACTATGTAATGAACTATGTACTCTAGTCCATTGTCCTGGTGCCCTTTATGTTTCTTGCGGTTTAAAACAATACCTGAGTGAAGTAATCTTAAAATTCGTTTTTGCTTAAAGAAAAGGAGTAAACTTCAAAATGAAATGTTGTAGATCCTAATCTCATCTCTTTTAAGCAATCAATTCCCTTATACAAATATATACTACTTTACAGTCGGTAAGATAGAAATATATTTAGTGTTGTATTATGTAGCAGTGACCGAATGATTACGTCCTTTTTTTGAATGTGGTCGTTTAGTTTGACCCATCTTTTACTGTAAGACCTCTTCTGATTTTTCCCCAGCCAATTAATCTAAAAGTGAAGAAACAGGTAACGTAAATAAACTGATAAATAAGCAAGTAAACAAAAACAAGTTATGGAAAACAAATAAACAAACAAACAGAGGAATACAAGAACAAATATTCTTCATTCAAACCTCCAATGTTTTTCCACTCTTCGACTTAATGCAATCTTTTCACCAATTTCCGTACAGACAGGTTGTGTCAACACGATCTTTGCCAAATCAACTTTGACTGCGAGAACTCGACCACCAGTTGATAGTGAACCAATGTTGACCATCAGAACTTCGTTTTTCGCTAGTTTTTGAACCTGGATAAAGATTATGGAGGAATCAATATTCATCCAATGTCACCACAGGAGGAAATCTGATCAATCCAGAATAGCTTTACCAGTTCTAAACTGTTCTTCCTAGAGGTCCAGTAAGGATCATCTCTTATTGATCCAGAGTTACTACAGGAGAAAACCTAAACTAAACTAACTTTATTTATACTGGATAGTTCTATCAGTTCTAAACTGTTCTTCCTAGAGGTCTGTTACATGATACATAATATCATGTAATTAGATCGTATAATAATATAGAGTCATATACTTAGCTAGTATAAATATATATACCTTTTAGTTAGTTAACCTTATTCTCGCAAGACTTACATGCATGAGTAAGCAAAATAGGTATAAGCATGAGCAGGCAATAGCTATGTCCACGCCTAACCGCAAGTGCGTAGCTTGGTGTCAACCACAAAGCCATGGTAGCATGCGCTACAACGCTCTGAATTGCGTAGGGGAAATTACTTGTTGTTTTGCAGTTTCTCTTAGCAAGCGTATATAAGTCGATCCGAGCGCAAATAGATATAAGCAAGCGATTACAGCCATTACAAGATGCCATAACTGACGATGCTAATTTAAGCTGACGGCTGACCAAATGAACATTATAACATAGATGGATGTATGATGGATTTTCAACTATGGAGCTATTCACTGTTACTCTTACCAGATAAGTTAATGTTAGGAAATAGGATATTGTTAATGTGCTTTGTAAAGTTTAAGTTGTTTATTGCTCACTATAATTCACTAAATGTTTTAAAATGCTCAACACTGTTCTCATTTTTTGTTCGTTCTCACCGGCGAACGTAACAGGTCTAGTAAGGATTATCTCTTATTGATCCAGTGTTACTACAGGAGGAAACCTAAACTAAACTAACTTTATTTATACTGGATAGTTCTATCAGTTCTAAACTGTTCTTCCTAGAGGTCCAGTAAGGATCATCTCTTATTGATCCAGTGTTACTACAGGAGGAAACCTAAACTAAACTAACTTTAATAATTTTCTTGTATGATTGCATGGCGACTTTAGTAATTATAATAACTTGTAGGTACACCACGTAAGTATTAAATACTGCAAAGCTTTCGGTCCGTTAACCCGGACCTTCATCAGTGCAATTACTTGAATACACGTTTGCGCGTCACTTAAATATCATGTTAGTCGTGATTAGTTTGCTCGCGCTATTAATTAAACGGTTTCATTTAATTAAGTTCTAACTAATGCGCGCGCCCTAGACAAGTATTTGACTAAGAGACACCGAAAAGAGCACGCCACGTACTATTAAGTGGCTTTCCCTCTTGGACGATAGTTTGATGTTTATAAATTTCAATAGATTCTCTCATTTTACGAGAGACAGTAAACTTATCGTTTGCTAAAATGGTAGCATCGTTCCATTTAATGCGATGATCATAAGTCCATGCATGGTGAGCTACTGCAGACTTATCCAGTTTACCTTTCTCGCAGTTCGTCTTATGTTCTTTAAGACGTATTGAGAGATTTCTACCGGTCTCTCCAATGTAAACCAAACCACATTCACATGGAATGCGGTACACACCAGGTTTCTGTTGTTCATCGACGCCATCCTTGTGTGTGTAAAGAGCGCGAAACAATTTGTTATTGCTAGAACATAAGACGAACTGCGAGAAAGGTAAACTGGATAAGTCTGCAGTAGCTCACCATGCATGGACTTATGATCATCGCATTAAATGGAACGATGCTACCATTTTAGCAAACGATAAGTTTACTGTCTCTCGTAAAATGAGAGAATCTATTGAAATTTATAAACATCAAACTATCGTCCAAGAGGGAAAGCCACTTAATAGTACGTGGCGTGCTCTTTTCGGTGTCTCTTAGTCAAATACTTGTCTAGGGCGCGCGCATTAGTTAGAACTTAATTAAATGAAACCGTTTAATTAATAGCGCGAGCAAACTAATCACGACTAACATGATATTTAAGTGACGCGCAAACGTGTATTCAAGTAATTGCACTGATGAAGGTCCGGGTTAACGGACCGAAAGCTTTGCAGTATTTAATACTTACGTGGTCCTGTACCTAACAAGTTATTATAATTAATAAACTAACTTTATTTATACTGGATAGCTCTATCAGTTCTAAACTGTTCTTCCTAGAGGTCAGTAAGGATCATCTCTTATTTGATCCAGTGTTACTACAGGAGGAAACCTGAACTAAACTAACTTTATTTATGCTGGATAGCTCTATCAGTTCTAAACTGTTCTTCCTAGGGTCTAGTAAGGATCATCTCTTATTGATCCAGTGTTACTACAGGAGGAACCTAAACTATTTATCCAGAAACATTTAACATCACATATTGTATGTTTACTCTACCTTGGCAGCTTTTTTGTCACCCTCTGTTCGAACACCCAGCAACCTCCTCAACAAGAAATAACTGATTTCCAGTTCTGTGTAGATTTCTGGCAACGCATCAGCTGCTCCCAAAACCTTACCAAAGAAAATAAAATATTTTGTCAAAAGGAATTGAAAGCTGTAAATAATGAAACCTAAATGAAATTCTGTACTTACATGGCCAACCATTCTGTCAGCTCTGCAGAGAGTTGGGTCAATTTTCGTTCCAACACCTGGTTTATAATGAAGATAAATGATTATGAAATGCTGCTTTTTACATGTTTTAAATGCAATGGAAATTTGATCAGATATCCCCCAATGCTCGAGTTGTCTGACACAAAAGGTCTACATGTGTCTTGGGTAAAGTTTGACAGATCTTTCTGCAAAGAGTTGGGTCAATTTTCGTTCCAACAACTAGCTTAAAATGAAGATAAATGGAATATGAAATGCAGTTTTTCACATGGTTTAAATGGAATGAAAAGTTTGATGAAATATCCCTGATACAAAAGACATGTTTCTTGGGTAAAGTTTGATGGATATTCTTACCAATTAGTCCACCAGGTACGGCGTACTGAAGATCATTTTGTTCGGCGAACAACGAAACAATCACAGAACAGATTGGTTCCCAACGCAGTTTTCCTTTCTCATCTTTGGAAACAATGCCTGGACGTACTTCAATCTCTTGACCAACCTAAAATGTTGAATTAGAAATGAATGAAAAGTATAGACCTGCTTCAAATCAGACCTATTGCATCCTTTAAAGTTCTGGTAAGAGTAATATTTAGTAGAGCTTTGTAGGTGGAGCTATCAATTGTACGCATTTCCACAACAATGTAAACTTGGAGTAGCTGGGAAGATCTCAAAGAAGCTGGTTAATTCGACTTGTTTGTTATGGAATGGGGACAGCAAAAAGTGATCAACCATACCTTTAAGACACCTTGGAGAATGCTTCCTCCAGCAACACCTCCTTTAAGGTCTTGTACTTCGCATCCAGGCTTATTCACGTCAAAAGAACGGATCACTGAAATCAAGCAAGTATTTCAAGGTTTAAATTGTGAATAATTCTTCAACCAAAGCAAGATACAGTTTCATTACACCATTCATTCAACTGCAAATGATTCTACAGTATTTGGTTATAGTCATGTTGGTCAGTCATCTCACCAATGAGCCTTGGTTGTGATGTGAAGTCTCGTCTTGGGATGGGTATTTTCTTGCAAATATATTCACAGATGACTTCAATGTTGTATTTCAACTGCGCCGAGATTGGAACAACTGGAGCTCCTTCAGCAACTGTACCTTTGGTAAGGATAACACACAAAATTATATTTTGTTTCAAACTGTTCTTCTAGAGGTTTAGTGAGGATAATCTCTTATTGATCCAGTGTTACTACAGGAGAAAACCTAAACTAAACTAACTTTATTTATACTGGATAACTCTATCAGTTCTAAACTGTTCTTCCTAGAGGTCCAGTAAGGATCATCTCTTATTGATCCAGTGTTACTGCAGGAGGAAACCTAAACAAACTAACTTTATTTATAAATGTAGGACAAAAGCAAATACCTTCAACAAATTTCAGAATTTCTTTATACTGGTCCTTTGCTTGACTTTCTCGTACAAGATCAATTTTGTTTTGCAAGATGATAATATGTTCAAGTTTCATGATCTCGATTGCTGCCAAATGTTCTGATGTCTGAGGTTGGGGGCACGATTCATTGCCAGCTGGAATAAAGATTGAAGAATACAGTTATGTACATGCCATAAAACTGTCACTTGTCAACTCTCATGCAACTCTTGTTCTGGTTTGATCAAGCAATGATAGTTGATGAAACTCTCATGTAAACTCTCACTTGTCAACTCTCATGCAACTCTTGTTCTCGTTTGATCAAGCAATGATAGTTGATGAAACTCTCATGTAAACTCTCGCTTGTCAACTCTCATGCAACTCTTTTCTCGTTTGATCAAGCAATGATAGTTGATGAAACTCCCATGTAAACTCTCGCTTGTCAACTCTCATGCAAGTCTTGTTCTTATTTGATCAAGCAATGATAGTTGATGAAACTCTCATATAAACTCTCGCTTGTCAACTCTCATGCAACTCTTGTTCTCGTTTGATCAAGCAATGATACTTGATGAAACTCTCATGTAAACTCTCGCTTGTCAACTCTCATGCAACTCTTGTTCTCGTTTGATCAAGCAATGATAGTTGATGAAACTCCATGTAAACTCTCGCTTGTCAACTCTCATGCAACTCTTGTTCTCGTTTGATCAAGCAATGATAGTTGATGAAACTCTCATGTAAACTCTCGCTTGTCAACTCTCATACAACTCTTGTTCTCGTTTGATCAAGCAATGATAGTTGATGAAACTCCCATGTAAACTCTCGCTTGTCAACTCTCATGCAACTCTTGTTCTCGTTTGATCAAGCAATGATAGTTGATGAAACTCCCATGTAAACTCTCGCTTGTCAACTCTCATGCAACTCTTGTTCTCGTTTGATCAAGCAATGATAGTTGATGAAACTCCCATGTAAACTCTCGCTTGTCAACTCTCATGCAACTCTTGTTCTCGTTTGATCAAGCAATGATAGTTGATGAAACTCTCATGTAAACTCTCACTTGTCAACTCTCATGCAACTCTTGTTCTCGTTTGATCAAGCAATGATAGTTGATGAAACTCCCATGTAAACTCTCGCTTGTCAACTCTCATGCAACTCTTGTTCTCGTTTGATCAAGCAATGATAGTTGATGAAACTCTCATGTAAACTCTCACTTGTCAACTCTCATGCAACTCTTGTTCTCGTTTGATCAAGCAATGATAGTTGATGAAACTCCCATGTAAACTCTCGCTTGTCAACTCTCATGCAACTCTTGTTCTCGTTTGATCAAGCAATGATAGTTGATGAAACTCTCATGTAAACTCTCGCTTGTCAACTCTCATGCAACTCTTGTTCTCGTTTGATCAAGCAATAATAGTTGATGAAACTCTCATGTAAACTCTCACTTATCAACTCTCATGCAACTCTTGTTCTCGTTTGATCAAGCAATGATAGTTGATGAAACATTTAACCCTCCCATTTTAACACATTGGAATGGAAATCTCACCAATTAGCAACATTGCGGCGTCCATAACGGCTGCTCCGTTCAACATGGTTGCCATAAGAATGTCGTGACCTGGGCAATCCACGAAAGAAACATGTCTACAAAATAAACAATCATTTCTCTATGAATAGATTTTAGAAAGTGTTCTATCAAGATTTACAACGCACAAAAATTCATGGTTTGTAAGAGTTTATGTACACAAACCTCACTAACTGCGATTTACCCTGGCAACCTGGTCTTTCACATGGTATGATGTCTTCGCGAGCGCTTCCTGCTGATCGATAACAGCTGGGCCTCTGACAACTGGGGTTGCTGCATTTGTAGATCTAAGAAATATTTTTCTTGAAATATGGGGTAGATACTGTAGGCATTCTATTTTCTGCAATGAACTACATATATTCTTTGAAATATGCTACAGCAATGGGTAGGTAAGGAAAATTATCCAGAGTTTCTGATTTCTTTTGTCTGTCAGTGAAGAAATATTAAAATTGTATGGCTAATTCCAAGGCTAATTGTCGGTGGAGTAAATAAACTTTTGGGTAAAAATAAATAAGAAATGTTCGGAATAGAATTATCTTGTGTTAATCAAGGGCAAATCTAAACAAAAATCAGTCTAGTTGAGAGGCCTTGGGTTTGTTGCAAATGCACTAGACTTAAATATTAAGCTTAGTGGCTCTTGTTTTAGTTGATAGGTTCTTCTAATATTTTAGATCCATACATTCAAGACGAAATGTCAAGTCTATAACTATCAATATATGTAGTGATCATTGTACAGTACGTGATTAATTAAAGGTCTGTTCACACAATACAAATTTATCAGATCCAATTCACTTCTGATGGATTTTTTATAATCTGTTGACTTGCAAAGTATACGGGCAGCAAATCAACTGAAGCCAATGCAGACTGTTTTATCAATAACAAACTATATTCCATACATCAGAAGTGAGTTGGACCCGACAAAGTTGTACAGTCTGAACAGGCCTTAATTTGTTTAAGTATTTATATAACCATAGTACCTTTGCATTAGCATAGCCAAGCTTGATTGTGATATTTCGTTCAAGTTCGTTTTTAAATCGGACAGTCTGGAAAATAAACAAGCATATAGCAGGTTGTCGCAAAATTTGATGACAACATAAAATGCTGTTTATAATGTCTGAGATTTATATCTTTCAGAAGTCGCAGTTTTGACGGAAGATGAACTTTGCTACCAAGTTATTATGATAGCTCTCTATTCTAACTCAGGCAAAATGCCATGATAAAACTTGCTATCAAAGCTGTTTTCTACTTCAACCATATTGTAGCATAACGTAGCGTATTTCTTTGTTTCCGAAGTATTCGACCAGAACTAATGACTTTAAAACAATGAGATATCCGAGGTTTTGCTACAATACAGTTGAAGTGGAAGACAATGTAAAACAACGCAAGCTTTGCAATGTCTGAGATTTCTTTCGAACAATCTTATACACAATACCTGAACACCAGATAAAGCTTTTACAACCGTTGACTTTCCATGAGCCACGTGACCAATTGTGCCTAGAAATTAATGAAATTTACATTATTGAAATATATTATTTCCTGCAATTGCATAAGCCTTCAGAGGCAAGATTACATCTTAAACCTGTTCATTGCAAATCCATGAAGACGTACATGGTGTAGAGAGTTGAAACTAAGTAATCATTTTAACTTTGTCATCATTGGTAGAGCAATACTAACCAATATTTATAGTTGCTTGACGGCTGATTACTTCTGGTGTTAGAGGATTTAGTTCCTCGATTTTCTATAAAATTTAAAAGACATAACCTTTTCAGCTCAGGCATTAGCTTGCAATGCACCCAGATGTGGCCTACTTTAGTATTTTACTCTGTCTAATGTCAGATGATTTTACTCATCAGTGGAAGAGTACTGTCAGTTAATAAGTTAACAAAACTATCTGTCAGTGTCTCTTGTTAACCCATTAGCTTGCAATGCACCCAGCAACTGATCTGGTTAACTTGCACACGAATCTTTGCACAAATATTTTACCAAAAACAGCCTGAGATTGCCTTAACTTCTATTTAAATATCTTACAAATAGTTTAGTTTACAAAGAAGAATCAACCATTCCACAATAATAAGAATTCAAAGCATTATTAGATCTCGAAATAAGACTCATTCCTGAGTCAGATCATGCCGTAGAAACCACATAAAAAGCGATAATTTTTGCAGTATAAACTCACTTCATATCTACAAAGGTAAAACTATACATAGGGACCAAGATCTTTGTAGGACGGGGAAAGGATTGGAATAAAATGAATATGCTTACCAATTTTGATAAATCCTGCTTTGATAAGCGAGGCTGGCCTACCTCGGTGCTCATGATTGCATCAACAAGGTTTTGTTGATGAAATAAAAATGAAAATTTTTCTTGCGTAAAAAAGCAAAAAATGAGCGAAATTCTGCTTCGAGCTGATGCAATACACGAGTGACGGTCAGTGACCATTGATCTCTGTAACTGGAGTGATCACGAGAGATGCACTGAGGGATAAACAACACTGGAGTGATAAAAGAGCACCCACTGAGAGACAAGTGTAACTGGAGTGATCACAGAAGATACACTGAGAGATAAGTATAACTGGAGTGATCACAGAAGACGCACTGAGAGATAAACATACTGGAGTGATAACAAAAGACGCCCTGAGAGATAAGCACAACTGGAGTGACTACAGAAGACGCACTGAGAGATAAGTATAACTGGAGTGACTACAGCCAGACGCACTGAGAGATAATTATAACTGGAGTGATAAAGAAGACACACTGAGAGATAAAGCATTACTGGAGTGATCAAGTGTAAGCATTACTGAAAAGATACATTACCCACATCTTAACGGCTATCTAAGGGGAAGATGCACTACGGCCCCCAGACCATGATGTATGTGCACCTAACCGTTACGTCTCAGTGAGAAACAGAGTATGCATTGCCACAAGCCTAGCGCGTCATAGACGAATCAGCTACAATGACAAGCCTTGAGAGCGAAGATAAATTTAACGTATTTAAGCTTTCCATTGTGACTCACCAAAAAACTTTCATTTTTCCACACGGAATAGTTTTAATGTACACTAATAAGTATATCTACATAAAATCATGGTGCAACTAATTAAAGAGATCTATACATTTACTGAGGACGGTGATCTTCAATACAAGATGTTGAACTTAAAAGTGTACATATAAGTGCAAAAATAATCAAATTTTATCTTACAACAAACTAATATTTTCATCGCAAGGTTAAAATCAAAAGTGTGCAGTCTGTGAGGTATATTTTTTCAGTCAATAAAACTATACGAAATTATGTCACGGTTAGGCTAGAATAAACACGGCTAATATCAAGTCTATAATGAATTAAGACGAGAAGTTGAATATTTTGAAGACGCATTCTTATGGTTAAGCAATCAGCACTTCTTTGTCGTCAAAGGCCAGTTTTTCAGGCAACGGCTCAGCTTTCATCCACCAAAATTCCTCGTTGCCCTTGCTGATTTCATAAGCTTTCTTGCTCTTGCGACAGCAACACATAGCACAGCACATCATGGATGCCAAGACGACAAGGAGCCAAGCCGACAAGAATTGCAACTCGCGCGCCAAACTGGAACAAAGGCTTTTGCCGTGGTGATGTTTCTAGATAATGTAGATATTTATTACATATATTTTTACATATTATATTTATTACATATTAAATTTATTACATATTATATTTAAGGGTAGATATTTACTACAACCTGAGGCGGTTCGAGGTTTAAATAACAAAGAGGAATTTCATTTTAAACTAATCGGTGACATTTTTGAGGGAAAGCCAATCAGAATGCGTACATTTTAATTACTTCATGTAAAATGGTACATATTGTACTTTTTATCAAAATTTATGCATTCTGATTGGCTTACTGAAAATGTAAACAAACTTGCTGATTGGCTAAAACGAAATTCTAAATAAATCGATTGAAATCGTCTGAAAAACCACGAAAAAAATCGATTTTTTAAAGTTTTTTTTTAAGTCCTGGCAAAATATTGCTGTAAGAATAAACTTCACGCATACGAATTCAAAAGTTTACTCTAGAAAGCAATCGTATTTTGGTATAATACTAATCCTAATATTCACAAAAAGCATTTTCTTAAAAATAAACCGTACAAATTCTCCGCTATTAAACATGAGCCCGGTTACCGAGATTTAAAGAAGCGTTAAATTGACTTTGAGTTTTTGAAATGAGTAAATAACATGATCCTGGTAGTCGTGAAGTCATTCTAACAATAGCATGCAATGTTTCTGTTTCAAAAGACTTTTCTCAATACTTAAAATTCCGTTTTACGCTTCGTTAAATCTCCGTAACCTGGCTCATGCGAAGAACGTTTAAAATAAGAATTTGTTTACTTTCTCAGGCTTAGGGCGTGTTTATATGATCCCGTCTAGCCGGGACGGGATGTTTTCATCCCGCTTAGCCGGGAAACTCGCCTACGCGGATGGCGTGTTTATATGGAGTTCATTTTGTGGTGCAGGTTCCTTCGACGGCATGTTTTATTGTAGAAAACGAGTATGCCAATATATACACATGCTCCTAATGTATGTTAATCGCGAATCATCTCGGCCAAGCGGGGATGGAGTGTTTATATGGCAATTTCTCGTCCTGTCTAAGCGGGATCCCGGCAAGAAGTGCCGAAGAAAAGTGGTCATATAAACACTAATTAGCGTTTGTACTACAAGCGGGATCTCGGAAACTGTCCCGTCCCGGCTAGACGGGATCATATAAACAGGCCCTAAGTTGAGCTACCGTTGAATCAAGGACATATGCTCCACTTTGCTAAAAAGCATCTTCGATAGTTACTAATACTACGCTATTTTGTTTAAATGTGACTGAGTTTTGAACTTTACGACAGTGGTATGAATTTTATCCACACATTTTATACAAAACTTTTGAAAGCTTTACATGATGACCATATCCTTTCTCGTCTGGCAGAGATGGATCCAAAAATCTTTTCGGCTTTTTGTCATCTAGAAGTTTCAAATAGTTCGGATATTGTTACCAAATTTAGCTCCATCAGTTCTAAACTGTTCTTCCTAGAGGTCCAGTAAGGATCATCTCTTATTGATCCAGTGTTACTACAGGAGGAAACCTAAACTAAACTAACTTTATTTATACTGGATAGCTCTATAGTTCTAAACTGTTCTTTCTAGAGATCCAGTAAGGATCATCTCTTATTGACCCAGTGTTGCTACAGGAGGAAACCTAAACTAAACTAACTTTATTTATACTGGATAGCTCTATCAGTTCTAAACTGTTCTTCCTAGAGGTCCAGGAGGGATCATCTCTTATTGATCCAGTGTTACTACAGGAGGAAACCTAAACTAAACTAACTTTATTTATACTGGATAGCTCTATCAGTTCTAAACTGTTCTTCCTAGAGGTCCAGTAAGGATCATCTCTTATTGATCCAGTGTTACTACAGGAGGAAACCTAAACTAAACTAACTTTATTTATACTGGATAACTCTATCAGTTCTGAACTGTTCCTCCTAGAGGTCCAGTAAGGATCATCTCTTATTGATCCAGTGTTACTACAGGAGGAAACCTAAACTATATTTATATTGGATGAACAAGATACAATAACATACTTTTTCCACAGTATCTGGACAACTCAGCTTTTTTAATGTTTGATTCCTCGAACTTAACCGCAGCAATTGTTCGTCTGAATTCTTTGCCATTCACATCCATATGAATTGTCAGCACCTGAGTAGATTAGATTGATTTTTAAAGCTATTAAAGTGTTTAATATCCTTATGCATTCAACAGGACTCTTGATTCTTAAGCCCTGGTCAAACGAGAATGATAGTTGATGAGAGTTGAGAAGCGAGAGTTTGCACGAGAGTTTTCCAAACTCTCGATGCGCCGGTCAAACGAGAATGAGAGTTGAGAACGAGAGTTGATTACGGCGCGCATTAATTTCGTCCTTACTCCACTTCGTTTTGCTTTTTTTGTTTCTGCCCGTTGTTTTCAGAAGATTTCTTTTTTTTTTCAAAAAAATTGCAAACCGCTAGCTGTTTTGCAACTCTCATCAACTCTCATGACCGATCAAACGCGCCCAAACTCTCATCAACTCTCATCAAAATTTGAACCAGTTCAAAGTCAATGAGAGTTGATGAGAGTGCACGAGAGTGTATGAGAGTTCGCGGTCAAACGCAAGCGAGAGTTGCAACTCTCATCAACTCTCATTCTCGTTTGACCAGGGCTTAAAGGTTTCATCCATAAAAATTACCTGAACATCGACTTGTTCAACTCGCTTTTCATTAATGAATTGCACTTGTTCTTCGATCAAATATTGATGTCCCGATTCCAGCTCCTTTCTCATCACCATTACGTGAATTATGACAGGAAGAATGCGAACATCTTTGGCAGAGTAAACTGTGAAATGAATACACAACAATTAGCCCAGAACTTATCCAAATCTTCTCTGTCAAAAGAATTTAGGCTGTATGCACATGAAGGTAAATCAGTTATGATTTTTGGCACTTCACTCGAGGTAGGTAAATTCTAATGGTTCTTAGGGTGTTAATTTCGAGTGGAATTATACACACTTCAAATTCAAGCCAGGAACAGTTGATGGAAAATGAGTCAACTATCGGTCCTCCGGCAGAAATCGAACCTATGCTTTTGCGATGCCGGTGCAATGCTCTTGCCACTGAGCTACAGAGGTAGCTGACAAGAGCAAGCGTGGTTAGTGTGCATATGATGGTAATCATCTGTGTGCACATGAGCGTCGTTTTCGAACATTCTCAAAATCGTTTTCATCCAGATTATTGCTTTGACACTTTGTCAACATGATCCAAGGGAAAATATGCTGAATATGTTAAATTAGCTTCAAATTGACTGTGTTTGAAACAGTTTGAAATGAAAACGAAAATGTAAATGCGTGCACATGCATAGCCTTAGAATGAAAAAGCTGAACCTGACTGCACCATTAGTGGAAGGTGTAAAGTCTGATTCAAAAGCTATGCTGGAAACTTAGTTTCAAAATATCACTGCTGTAGAAAACATTCAAAGTGAAGAATATATTTATAATAGCAAATAAATTTAGGTTGTTCGTACCAATCTCAGCAGTGAGGTCGTACTTCGTAAGAACATCTAGTTCTGTGAGTTTCCCATTAATTCTGACACTGTCTTCCTGGATTGTAATGTTCAATTTCACCTGAGAATTAATACAACAGCATTGTGAGCAATAAATTATTTATTAAATGTTAAAGTAGGTCACATCTGGGTGCATTGCAAGCTAATGGGTTAACAAGAGACACTGACAGATAGTTTTGTTAACTTATTAACTGACAGTACTCTTCCACTGATGAGTAAAATCATCTGGCATTAGACAGAGTAAAATACTAAAGTAGATCACATCTGGGTGCATTGCAAGCTAATGGTTATCACAGATAGTTTTGTTTACTTGGTAATGACAATGATCAAGTGGTGAGTAAAATCATCTGGCTGATGGAACTTATAAAATAAATAAACGTTTATAAAAGTACATTTAGAGACGCCTACTATTGCAAAGTCATTGCTAAATTCAGCTGAGGCAATCTTAAAGACACAGCTAGCAACTTTGAGGAATTTTTCCCGTTAACAAGAGGCAAAATTGTGCTTTGTCATGTTTTTGTGGGGAGGAATTTCATCAACAACACGCAATAATAGTTATGTAATAACTTGCTTTCTATAACGTTATATAAAAATATAGATTAAGAAAACTTCCGACCGCAAATTTCCCACTTAAAACGACTATCTGAAGACGTGCAGGTGTTTTCAAAAAGGGTATTAAAACAAGACTTGTACAATATGAATAATGTTCAGATATTGACACATGCTGGGAATATTTCGTCGCTTTTATTTTGCGATTTTATGAACAACGATCTTAGTTGATAAAACCAAGTTTCGTTTCGATTAAAAGCAGGAAGATTTTGAAGCGATGTTTTGAAGCTTCGATCGCAGTTTTGTTCAGATCAATCGAAGCAATTTTTGCGTTTTAAAAGGAAAAAGATTAGAGAAAGTTTTGGCAGCTAAAGGCGCCATAGACAAGGACATGTCACAACTTATTTCCTTCTTTCCCAAATTGGATTCCCGGTTACAAAAGAAAACAAAACAAAGTACCAACGTTTCCTCGAAGAAAATACACTGCAATTCAACTGCCTTGGCTGCAGATTTTCGTTTTGATTCAAAACGAAACAATCTGAACTTTGTGTGAAAGCCGTGTCGCAGTTAAATTCAAAGTATTTTAAGCTCTTTCTATGCCGAATATAAACGCCGCATTTCTATGTTTACAAATACAAGACTCTATCATCCATTACTGGGCTACTTTTAACTAGTTTTCTCTTCGAATTCATGCACAAATACTTACAATAACTTCGGTTTCTCGTCTGCCGTTTGCGGAGTCTTCCTCCTCGATGATTTTCACAGAGATAGAGAGCTTCTCTTTTGAATGTTTTGTGCCAGATTTGAGGTCGTTTTCGCCGGCAAAAACTGCCTGGAATATCGCCAAAAACAAGACGAAATGGCCAAGCACTTCAAACATGGTTTATTTGCTCAAAAAACAGATATAAAAGCGATAATATTGAACAGGAGAAGCACAGCGCGAATGCGGATTGCAATATGTAAACAGCTTGGAAAAGCTGTATAATATTTACATATTAACTCGTTGCAAGGGTGATAACTATTGTTATTAATACTATCGGTTAATAATTAATGACCATATATAGAGCCAAGATTCAACGTATTATACATATGCGGATAATCCCTTAGATAATCCGGTAAAGTTAATCCGGTAGAATTAATCAGTAGCAGTAATCAGTGAGCTCACTGGCAGTAATATCCAGATTCAACGAATGTGATCCTAAACCCTAGAGAATTAGGTTTAAAATAGATTAAGGATTAGACTAACTCGATTAAAGATTAGATTAGATTCGGTCAATGGTTAGAACTTAGAATGAAAGCTTGCATTGTAGAATATGGATATAGGATTATCTGATTTAATTTCGTTGAGATCCAGATATCCTATGTCTATGTTAATAATATATACAATGCAAGCCTTATCTAGATATGGTAGCCCACCCCATAGGGAACACCAGCTACATGATCAGTGATGGTACCACTACACGTTAACGATACCCCCCGCCCTCCTCATAGCCCACAGACGTCACTCGAGTTTTTTAAATTTCAATGAAGTAATATTACCCTCCTATATTGACCGCCAACCCACGCCACAAGGCCAGAGGGCCCCGCCCCTCCCCCTATCGCGTGCGACCCCCTCTGGCAAGCAGTTCAAGTATGCCTAAAGTACTTGACCTTTGTACGTTGGAGCTCTCTTTATATCTCATTTCCATATTTCATTGAAATTTGAATAAATATTCAATACAAATAAAATGGCTCATCTTCGAAGACTCGCATCGCTTTCCACGAGAAGATCTTTGAGGAAATCCTTGTCAAGTTACTTGTATTCGTCTTCGACAAAACTTCAAAACAACGTCGCTTTATGTGGTACCACTTATCGTCATGTTAGTTCGAGTGGAGCAAAATTACAGCCGGACACGTAAGTCGATGAAAATGTATATTTAATTATGTATATATTTCACGTTTTAGTGTTTACTCGAAGTCATATGGCGATTGAGTGATTAATTAAAACGAATTCCCGTTTTTATGTAATTCTTCAATGTTCACTTGGCTATATTTTGCTAAAAAAAACGACACCAACAATAATTTTACTCATGGGAAGAGTTGTTAACCCATTAGCTTGCAATGCACCCAGATGTGACCTATTTAAGTATTTTACTCTGTCTAATGTCAGATGATTTTACTCATCAGTGGAAGAATACTGTCAGTTAATAAGTTAACAAAACTATCTGTCAGTGTCTCTTGTTAACCCATTAGCTTGCAATGCACCCAGATGTGACCTATTTAAGTATTTTACTCTGTCTAATGTCAGATGATTTTACTCATCAGTGGAAGAGTACTGTCAGTTAATAAGTTAACAAAACTATCTGTCAGTGTCTCTTGTTAACCCATTAGCTTGCAATGCACCCAGATGTGTTTTTTTAGTTTTCAAATAATTTAGGAGGATATTGCCTCCTTTTGACTGGCCAACCAGTGACTGGCACCGGATTTCACGGCTTCAAAGGTTTGTTTGTTTCTTCTCCAGAGCATCAATCACATTTCACGATCGAGATGGCGACAAGAAAACAGTTTCAGCCAAATATGGAGATTCACTTCTTGATGTTGCAAAGAATAATGATATTGATTTGGAAGGTAAGAATGACTACACTGCTCTCTTTTAGCCATGAGTTTATTAACACGTTTTGAATATCTTCTCTTCATCAAATTTCACATCGAGGTGCTTGTGAAGGAACTCTGAGCTGTTCAACTTGTCATCTTATATTTGATCCGGACGAATTTGCCAAGTTGGATCTACCTGAACCAGATGATGAAGAACTAGATATGCTTGATCTGGCCTATGGTTTGACACCAACGTAAGAGATGATCCTTACTGGACCTCTAGGAAGAACAGTTTAGAACTGATAGAACTATCCAGTATAAATAAAGTTAGTTTAGTTTAGGTTTCCTCCTGTAGTAACATTGGATCAATAAGAGATGATCCTTACTGGAACTCTAGGAAGAACAGTTAAGAACTGATAGAGTTATCCAGTATAAATAAAGTTAGTTTAGTTTAGTTTCCTCCTGTAGTAACACTGGATCAATAAGAGAAGATCCTTACTGGACCTCTAGGAAGAACAGTTTAGAATGATAAGAGCTATC